TAATAACTATTTAACTACTAAACTTATTAAGTAACTAACTCAAATTATTAGAAAAGATTGCCTTTTCCCTTCATTATATAGGGTAAAAAGCCCACCTCCTCCCTCCTCCTCCCTCCCCTCTAAATATTAAAAAAAAGAAAAAAAAAAACTCCAATATAAAATTTCGAATTTTTTTTCAATTTTCGTCTTCTCTAGGTTTTTCAATTTTCAACCCTAACCCTAACCCTCTTTAGAATATCAAGGTTAGAGGTATTATTACAACCAAAATCTTCCCTCTCATCTTCTTTTGCTTTTTTCTCAATGACCAGAACGTGCACCATAATGCGACTAGTACCAAAATGACGGCCTTATTTTTCTCATCATTTTGATACCCTATACACCTTAATGCATACAATGGTCGAGGAGTAATCTTATTTGCAAAGGAAAAAGTAGCTTTTTGCAACTGAAAGCACGGGCCTCGAGTTTAGTAATGTTACCGGATATGTACGATTAGCTATAGAGTAGGGTGCTAGGACGACTCAATTGAGCCATGCCCAGCACCACGGCCAGGGCAGGCCTAGTACCATAGTCGGATGTATTGCCGGTCGACTGCCATTGGTAGGCGGCCGGCGGGAAGCGGGGCTCCACCCCTATAAACCAGGGTAGACCCCTACCCAAACCAGGGACCTTATATAAAGGATCCTTAATTAGGCCGGCCAACGGCCGCCTTTCTTCCCTCCTACATTTCGCTTTCTTACTTTAATATTATTAATTACATTAATAGATATTTAAAATTCTGAGTAAACCTAGCGAATTATTATATCTAGTAGTTATAACTAAAAGATCTAATTAACTAAACCATTGTTAATTAATTAATCCCTTGATTAAAAAGTTATTTAATTGCTCTTTATTACGCTTTATACTTCTAAACCGATTGTTAAATTCTATAATTCTCTTTAACGAACATTAACCCCGCGATCAACCCCCTTTACCAACCATTACCACTTCAATTGCCTTATTTATTCACTTCTTTCCTTCACACTCTTACTTAATCGTATTTCGGCCCCTCAATAAAATCCTCATATACCCTTATTACTGCTAATTTCCTTAATTATACTATTCTAATCTAAACTATTATGTAAATGGACTTCGGTACGTATATAATCCCTTAATATAATGGGTTTCCCTTCCTCTAATAATTTTATTTTACTAACTTCGAATTAACGATTCTCCTCTACTTTATATCTATATAGCCCTGTAATTGCAATATTAATACTATATTAAAACCCTATTACTATAGTAAATCCTATACCTAACTTCTTTATTAATAAGGATCCGCCCGGTAACCTAGTGCTACTTCCTCCCAACTTCCTTAAACCGATTTATTATAAAATATTTAAAAACCCTACTAAACGAATTAATATTTAATTTAATTGTAACTCTCGTACTATAAGTGTTAAATCTAATAATACTCCTAATCCTACTAATTTAACCCTACTACCTTTAATAAATAACCCCAATAAAATCAACCCTCTCAGCATACCTCCCCCTATTATATTCCCGCTAATATTGTTAATCGATGGAACTCTTAACCCTAAGAAACTATCTAATATTATTCTAATATTATTATTCCAATTTAATATAGCCTTATTAGCTTTACCTAAACTCCGGGCCTCGTTTACCAACGCCTTGGCGCTTACTTGTAAGATTTCTTACTGAATTAAAGGTAGTATCCCCCCTAGCTACAACTACCTACGTATAAACACCCCCTCTAACCTATTTACTAGTAAAAATACTAATTAATTTATACTTATTCGTATAAAATACTATAATTAGAATACTAGTCGTAAACTTAATGATATTTAAAATAAATTTAATACTAATACGGCTAAGATTAACCTCGTTAATATTCGTATCGATAACCTTAAAGCCAAAGTGAATAAAAATATCTCCCGTATTGATAAAAATATCAACGATACTATATCCGATATTAAGGATAATTTAAAGTACTCCTAGGATATCTATAATATTATTAAAAATATAGGTAGTAGTCTTAATAATACTAATCAGAAGGTTAATATTCTTAATACTAATATTAGCCAAATAAATATAGCACTCCGTAAAAAATAAGCGGAAATTGATTAACGTTTTAAAGGCATTACCAAATCCCTAAACGTTAATAAGAGTAAAATTAAGAAAATAGCTATAATAATTAAAACTATCGAATAATAATTTCTCTCTATCGCTAACCTCCGTAAGACTAGTACTTATTCTTCTATTATTAACCAAATTTTAAATAATACTAAGGTAGAAATTATTAATAAACTAATAGAAATAACCACTTGTATAAACCCTAAAATACCTACTATCGAACTTCACTCTATAAAGAAGCCCGCGCTAGAAAATAGCTACAATTACCCTATAATTAAGTGAATTAAATGTTACGCTATAATAACCAATAATATTAATAGTCCTAATCCAATCCGTTTCTACCGTACTAAATCTATCAATTTCTCCCTAAGTATCGACAAAACTAAAGCGGCACGTATACCCCGTACCTCCCCTAACTATAGTAATTACTTCAATTATTCTAACCTATCCCCCAGCGATAGCCCCGAACTAACCTCGTATAACTTTACTAAATATAATAGCCTTATATTAAACTATTGTTTAATAGAGTTCTAAGGATACTTCGAAATAATTATTTAACTTCAAGGGCAATTAGCAACCGAAGTACGCGCAATAGTAAATAAAATAGAGGGAAAATAAACCCCCCGCTTTAAGAGCTAGGATAACGGAGACGGCAAACCTCCTATTAAGTTAAAACGCTATAATAACCTATTATCGAATAATTTAGACTCTAATAATTTAAATATAAGCGATTCCGAATACGAATATTGTTATAGAAAATATTGTAAGGCCAAAAAAATTCGCTACAAAAAACGTTGCAAGGTTAATTATCGTAGCTAGGGTAATCCTAATCCCGATAACTCCGATTCTGCAAACGGAAATACCGCCTCTCTACGCCCCCCCCCCCCCCCCCCCCGGCGGTAATCCCCTTAATAGAAGTAGTAGCGGCGGCCTACCTAATAATAACCCCCCGACAGCGTTAACCCTCTTAAAAATAATCCTAGCAAAAGACAGCATTATACTAGTACGGTCGATACTAATTACTCTTCCTACTCCTAAAAATCCGAATTCAAATTAAAACACAAAGATATTAGATAATTCGTCCTTTCCTATACTAACCCTAATAATATTAGTATTATTACTAATAGTAAAACCCTAATTTATATTAATATTTTTCTCTTCTAAGAATACTTTTTATCTTTCTTTAAAAATAATGATATTGCCGCTAATATTGAAAAATAAATTATATAATACTTTTCTACTCTATTTAATAGAATAGTTATACTCTAATAAAGTAATGAAATCGACCCCCTAAAGCGCTAATACTTATATTAGAACAATTTCAATCCCATTTTTAAAGTATTAATCGACTATTTTCTACCCAACTTAGCTACTACAACCCGGAAATTTACTAAGGACTACTTTAAATTTAAAAATATCGTCCGTAGTAAGAACGCCTTATCCTAATTTATTTAATGTAAATTCTACTATACCCGTACAATAGGTATCTTCTATCGGACTAGCGAAAATTAGTATAGTATTATAATCCAGATCTAAATTAATATAGACTTAAAGATTAAGTAATACTTTAATTTACTTACTAAAAAGGATAACCTCGCTAAATACTTGATAAAATCTAAGGGTATTAAAGTAATCCTCCTAATAATTACTTAGGAATGCTACTTATATATCATTAAAAAGTTACTAGTACCGCTGTAAAAATCGAAGTAATTATTCCTACTAACTAATATAACCGAATTCGCAACTGTGATAGCCGTAATAATTAATGTAATAATTGTAATTATTCCGATGATTAAAACCATTATAATAATCGTAATGACCGTTATAATAATTGTAACGACCGTTATAATAACTACCGTGATAATCGCTATAATAATTACTGTAACGACCGCCGCAATAATTGTAGGGATTTATATCATAAGGATTGAGCTTATTATATTAATTTGGAAAGTAATAAAGATACTAAAAATAATTCGGATAAATAAACTATTTATATTAACAATACATTAATCGCTTCTAGAAGCTCGGATTTAAATAATAATAGAAATATATTTTACGCTACAAAGGTATTTAAATCTATATCTAATTCCTATAACAAATTGAAATATATTAATTATTATAAAGTCTTCCCCTCTATGAAATTAAGGAGGCAATATATAAAGAAGTACCTAATATATTGCTAATTTAAATTACTATCCTTAGTGGCACCCTTATATTAAATGTATATTTATTACTTCTAAGTATTTCTATTACGAAATATACTCTTCTACTATATAGATTCCAACGAAGATGCGAAATATAGGTATAAAAGAACGGTACTAACAAAAATACCTTCGTCCAATAACCTACTAATTTTTGAAATATTAATCTATAAGGATAGGGAAATCCTAAAGGGCCTACTCTCAAACTATACTCACCTCCGTATTATAGCCTAATACTTACTAACGGTTATAGAAACCGAGATTTATATAAACCCTAATGCTGCAAAAATAATTATCGGTCGAAGCTTCCTATCTACCCTTAAATATACTATTTCGACCAAATACGCTACTAAAATTCGAAGAATAGGTAGGAAATCCGTAAAATTAATAGAATAGGCTATATTCATACTCTCCGTTAAGGGCACTATTACTAGAAAACTGAATTTAACCAAGATTAAGGCGGTTAATTAGGTAATAGATAAGCTTCAATCCAATCTACTCCTAACCAATTTATTTCTCTACCCTTAGTAAACTAATATCGATTATAATATTGAATTAATTACCTTTCTAAATATAGATTTCCTAGTAGTCCCGTTTAAAGTCTAGTAGTATTGAATTAAATACGTAAGAAAAATTATAGTATTAAATAAAATAATATTATAATTTAAAGAAGAAGTAATAGTACCGGTTTATTATAAACCCCTACCTAAGGGCCGAAATTTTATATTTAATTTGGAGAATAGAAGCGTTGTAAATACAATAGTCAATTCTAAATTACTTAAATTAGTCCTATTTAAAAATTCGACCCATAGAGTACGAATTATCCCCAAGAAGCAATACATTAGCTATATTAAAAAATATAAAGATGATAAGTACTTTGTTAATAATTAGAACGAGATTAAATCGGCTATATTCTTTATCTAAATACTTAACGCCCTTAATAACAATCCTATAATTATTATTAACGAAGCTATCGAATATATTATAGCTAATTATATTCCCCCGGTTAACTTCGAAATAAACTTTATACCCGCTATTGAAGCAGCCGTCCGAGGGTAATAATCTACCCCTAAATTAATTACTAATACCAACGCCCCAAAGCTGCCCGCTATACCTAAGAAATATTCAACCCTAAGTATTTATATAAATAGATTAGAAATAGTTATTAAGGAAGGCGTAAACATCTATACAACCGACGTAGGACATACCCAAACACTCAAAAAACTTATTCAATCCTACCCATCCCTTTAAATCGAGGGAAGATTAATAGATATACTAAAAAAGGAATATATATATATACTACTAATAGAGAGTAAACAAAATCAAAAAGTAACTACGAGAATATACTTATTAAATAAAAAGGAGTAAACGGTAATCGACGAAATCTTTAATATACTCTATAAATAGGGTAAAATATAATAGATTACTCGTGCTACGCTATTTACGCACCTAGTCTTTATAATATAGAAGGAAATAAGGGACGGAAAATAAAAAGGGCGCCCCGTTATTGATATAAGAGTAATTAATAACCTTACTATCCCGGACAATTACCCTCTTCCCCTACAAAACAAAGTAATCGCCTTTATATAACGTAAGTATTTTATTGTAATTATTAATATAATAGCCTTTTTCTACCAATTTAGCATTTAGCTAGACTACTGGGACTAATTAACCTTAATAACCTATAAAGATTTCGAAGTTCTAATAGTTACCTAAATAAACTTTTGTGATATTCTTGCGTATATATAAAGGTTTATAAACCACCTACTAACTAATTATAAGAATTATTACCGTACGTATATTGATAATATTATTATAGTATCTAATTCGTAGGAAGATTATTTAATGTATCTCTAATTTATTTTTTAATTATTTACTTCTAAGAATATCTCTCTATTCCTTAAGAAGTTATTCTTAGGGTATTCTAACGTTAAATTATTAAGTTTCGGTATTAATAGTTTTAGTTTATAGAATATTTAATAAAGAGTAGAAATTTTTAAGAAGCTTATATTCCCCGATTAATTAAAGGTATTCGAATAATACTTAAGAGTATCCGGTTTTCTTTGCCACTTAATACTTTATTACGCCTAACTATTAGAACCCTTATAATAAAGAAAATATAATTTCTTGTTATAGGGCGCGTAGAGGGAGCGGTTGTTAATAGTAAACTAGTAAAGAGGGCCGTATATTATACGCGCATTAGGTTCAACCCTATACCTAATAAGGAGGCCGCCTTTAAGGCCATCTAAATTAAAATTTGTAGTAGAATTATATTCTATTACCTTGACCCGGATAAATAGGTTTTCTTATAGATTAATAATTTTATTAAAAAGGGATTTAGTATAATATTCTTCTATTTAAAGGACGGCTACGAATAGGAACCCGGCTCGTATATTCCTATAAATGAAATTCTCCCTATTCTATTTCTTCATAAATACCTTATTAATGTAGAAATCTAATATAGCCTATCTAAACTAGAGGTTGCTTATTTTGTATAGATAATTAAGAGATTATATACGAGGATTCACTCGTATAATAAAATAGTAATTATCCTTACCGACTATTCGGTAATAAAAGGTATTATTAAATAGAAGTCCTTATATACTACTTCTACTAATAGAAATAATAAGTACCTAATCAATACTTTAATCTACCTATCCTAATATAATATTAAAGTATATTATTTACTTAGGAAACTTAATTTTATCCTTAATATACTAAATTGTCTTAGAGCGATAAATAATATCCTACCTAAACCCGACGGTACTCTAATCCTCGATAATATCTAATTAGAAATTAACTAGGTTTTATTAGTAGTAGTCAAAGTTATTATTAATAACGAACTAAAGCGTTAGTTTATTGCCGCTTATTGAAAAAACAAAAAGTATATGGTAATTATAAACGACCTTAAAGATTTTTGATTAGATAATAAGGATACTATCGCCTTTCGGCGCCCGGGCTACCTATTTTTTACAATTAATAATATAATTTATTCTAATTAATTAAATAATATCAAGATATTGTACGTACCCTATAATTACGTCTAAAGGATTCTAGAACTAATATATAATAAAAAATACTACTTTAATTAAAACCGAATACTATACAACCTAAAAAGTTTCTCTATTATTAATAAAACGTACTTTGTTAAAAAGTACGTTCGAAACTACCTATTATATAACTTTAACTAAACCGACCGCTCCCTACTAATAGGAAAGCTCCAACTTATTGGCTTAAAATTTAATAGCGCCCTCCCTATACGTATAATAACTATCGATTTTATTGTTGGACTACTAGAGGTTTCGGCTAAAGATTTATTATAGAAGTTCTTTAATTATAATATTTTTGATTTGTTAATACCCGCTATTAATATAGTCTTTAAATGGACCCTCTTTATTCCCGGATACTTTATATATACCGTAGAAGAATAGGGGATAGCCTTTATTCGCTTATTAATTCTATTAAATTAAGGCTTACTATTAGGAATAATTTCTAATCGTGATAGAAAATTTATATCTAATTTTAAATAGGGAATATAGAAGGCTCTAGGGACTAAATTACTTATAACTACTACTTACTACCCGTAAGGTAACGGAATATTCGAACGCAAAAAAAAGACGATTAAAATTACTATCCGCTTCTATATTTTTAATTACCCTAACGATAATTAATTATCCTTAATACTTACTCTCTAATAGAGCCTTAATAGCGCTTATATAAATGCTATTAAAATATCGCCTTATAAATATTTATTCAGATATTATTTATAAAGACCCCTAGAATCCCTAAGCGATTTACTATAAAAGTACAACCTAATTTTATGTAATTATATTAGAAAAGAAGCTAAATTTGCAATAGACTTCGTAACTATTAAGGTTAAAAGGTTCTTTAATTTAGGACGGAAGTTGATTAATATCGAAGTAGGGGATAAAATCTTTTGAAAATAATATTTATAATTATTATTTAAGAGATCGACTATCGCGCCAATTCTCTTAATAATACGTTAATTTATTTAAAGTAATCCGAAGGGTCGGAAACTTCGCCTTCGAACTAGAACTTCCTCTTAATATAAAAGCTATCCACCTAATTATTTCAATCGTATACCTCAAATTAACCTTCCGTAAGGAAAACCCCTTCGGACGTATTCCCCCGCCCCCGGGATTAGTAGAGGATTCCTAAGAAAATTTGGAGCTTAAGCTGGGTTAGAAGTACGAAGTAGAACGCTTAATCACCTATAAAGAAATAAAGAATAGGGAAACGAAGTATTAAATTAAATAGAAAAGCTATGGTAACAAATATAATGAATAGTAAACGGAGGGGGAATTAAAGAATACTTTATATCTAATTGCCGAATATTAGGATAAGTACGGTAGTTATAGTAAAAAGGATTCTAGCAAAAGGGTTACCCGAAGAAGGACTAGGAAAAGAAATTGAATTACTACTAAGGATAGTAGTCTTTTTATATGTAAACCAGGACTTATTACCGGATATATATAATTAATTATAGAGTAGGGTACTAGGACGATTCAATCGAGCCATGCCCAATACTACGGCTAGAGCAGGCCTAATACTATAGTCGGATATATTACCGGTCGACTACCATTAGCAAACGGCCGGCGGGAAGCGGGGCTCCACCCCTGTAAGCCAGGGTAGACCCCTGCCTAGACTAAGGACCTTATATAAAGGATCCTTAACTGGGCCGGCCAACAGCCGCCTTTCTTCCCTCCTACATCTCGCTTTCTTACTTTAATATTATTAATCACATTAATAGATATTTGGAGTTCTGAACAAACCCAGCGAACTGTTACAGGTAAATATCTCGAATTTCCTCTTTCGGATTTGGGGCTCCGCAATTAATAGTATTCAGACCACTATAGATAGAACCGCCGCGCCTTCCTCGCGACGATGTGGGGCCCATAGCACCACGACCTCTGGTGTGGATGATCTATAACACTTTTGGGCCCCGGATATCGCTCTCTGAAGTCATGGGCGTTTCAATAATAAAAAAGATTCTAATTAAAGTTTCCGCTTGTTCTTTTCCCGGTATAGGACTATTTTATTATAACCTTTCACTATAATGAATAACGAAGAAAACTCTAATTAAAATTTCCTTTTATTCTTTTCCTAATATAGGACTTCCCTTTTGAAGAGGGAGAGAGGATGTTGAATTAGATTTATTTAGTCCTAATAGACCTCCAAGCAATCTAAATTAAATGAATATATTTTTAACGGTTTATTTAAATAAATATAAATTAATAATAAAGTATAGAAGGTTAATACTTCCCGAGGAATATAGTATATATTTTCTATAATAAAGAATTTTTACTCGGGATTACCAATTTAATTTTAGTAGATTTATAAGTAATTGCCACTTTATATTGGGGAGGTCTAGGAATAGCCAATTCTTATTATAATTGAAATGAAGTTTACCTTTATTTATATAATAAAGGTATATATAATAGGAAATTGAAAATTATAATGAATTTAAAAAACGACGCCGAAACCGGAAACGCCGATTTCTGGTCGAGGAGTGCTCCAAAACGAAAACTAATAACGGCAATCAACTTAGGAGGGTCGTTTATATCCTTTATAATATCCTACGACGAGTGTAATAATGGTGCTATATCATTATTATTAATAATTATTAATAGTAGTACTTATAGGTTTGAAAATAGCGTTTATAATCCGTTCACGGAAATCTCAATTTATAATAACTTTAAAACCGTATTTACTATAAAGACTTTAGAAGAAACAGGAGAAGATAATAAAATATAAAAAATATTTATTATTAAAGCGAATAAATTTATAGATTATAATACTATTTCGATCAAAGACCGACCCTAGGTTCGAAAATTATTTCTCGAATTCGCAAAAGTATATTTAAAGAAAAAACAGATTTCTAAAAACCGAAGTTAATAAAGTTGGAACTAATTGGTTTATTACTAAAAAGGATTTTAATAATTTAAAAAAGGATATGCTAAAAGAGATTAAGAAAGGCGTTTAGGAGGTACCGAAGTATTAAATTAATATTATAGCGAAAGCTATTCCGCATAAAATTAGTATTACCTTCTAATAATTATTTATTACTATTATTAAAAAGTTTACTCCTTCTAACTTCGAATAGTAATTTATAATTAAGGGAGTAACAATTACCGCCGAATTTATAAATTATTCGAATGAAGATACGAAGATAATTTTGGTTATAAATTTAAATGAGAAGAAATTTAGTTTAGTAATTTGTACAATTATTAGAATATTAATAATTAGAGATTATATAATTATATTTAATAAATTTATATATAATTAATATTAATAAAATTAAATATAGGTTAAAGAAATCTTTAATCCGGATATTTTTATTACTATAAGTACTATAGACGTATTGGTCCAAAGCGTACCTTAGGTTAGTATTAATAATTATATTATAGTAGAAACCCTAATAAGAGTAGCGAGGGAAGGAAATATAGAGGTAGCTATTATTAAAACTCGCTTATAAAAGAGTAGGGACAGAGAGAGTAAGGATTTATTCCTTATAGAAATTACTATTGCGTTAATAGTATATTTCCTTTAGAATAACCTCTTCCTTTAGGACGGCGGTATATATCCGTATAAATTATTCTAAATTTCGAGTAATATTTAATAATATTATAAATATTAGGTAATTAGATATACGGCGAAGTTTTATTACTAGGAAGATATTTATGGCCGGTATAGTAAGGTTAAATATAAAGGAGATTGCTTCGGCGAAATAAATTGTCCGTTTAATAAAAATTAATTATTTATTTATTATAAATTATATAGGAAGAAGGGATATTTCGTTTATAATTGTAAAAAGTATTTTATTCTTCGGAAGGCTATTATAAAAGCGTCCGTCGTATATACTGAGAAATTACGGATATTTACCCCTTATAAAAACCTTATTAGGAAGGTATTAGAATTAATAATAAAATTTATAAACGAGGGTATTCTACCGGACGCCCCCTTTAATTCCCGTACTATTACTACCTTAAAGAGATAATTTGTAAGAAGTATAAAAAAAGGACGGCCGAGGAAGATGGTTAATTAAACCTCCCAATTAAAACATTTAACTCTATAAAGCCTAATTAATACTTATTACCTACGTTTATAGAACGTAGGGGGGAATTAAATCTATAGTAATAATAGTTCTTATATAGTTGCGGCCCCCCTTAAGGAAGTAATACCCTTATCCTCTACTACGAAATTAGAAGGAACTCTATTTTAGGGTAATTAATAATTTAATTAAAAATACTTTATTAGAATATAGGGAAGTTATATAAGAGAAGGAAATTTCTATTCGAATAAAAGGAAACTTATAATGTTATAGTAATTTAAGAGTTAGGTAAGAATTTAAATAAGAATATTTATTATCCGAGAAGTAGGAAGTATTTCGGGGTTAATTATCTAAAGAGAGGAAGGGCGGTAATATATATAAATAAAAAATAAAATTTAAAAGATTTAAACTTTCAATTTAAGAAAGATTAGGCCGTAATAATATTTAAAAATTAGAGGGACCTAACGATTGTTTCTTCTATTTATTCCCCTATTTTAATATGAAAAATGCTAAAATATTAGTAGGGGTCCCTACTTTTCGAATTCTTCGAAATTGGCCCCCTAGCGGGAAATTAAATTATAATCGGGGATTTTAATTTCTATTATCCTAATTGGAATTTAAAGAATAGGATTAGCCTAAAAACTATTCGCCCCCTTATATAGGTATAATATTAAAGACTTAATTTATTTACCTTTTATAGCGAATTAAAGAAATTCGGAAATATAATATAAAGAGAAAAAGATAGGATAATTAATTATATATAATTATTACCCGGAATTAAAATTGAATATTAGGCAGTATAGCGGTACGAATAAACCGGCTTAGACTATTACTTTAAAAAATTTAAATCTAATTAGGAAGAAGGAATAGAAAAGTAAAAAAAGAAGAAGGATATAATTAGAATCTTATAAATATAATAAAAGTAAAGGAAGTAGCGGAGAAACGGATTTTAATTGTAAAAAGGATTAATATAATAGAAAATATCGAATTCGCCTTTCGCAAATTCAATAAGGACTTTATAAATATTATAGAGGAATTCGTTTTATATTAGAAGAGAGATCGAAGGAAAAGAGTAAATTACTAAATATTAAAATATAAAATAGTAATAAAGGAAGTGCGGTGGATATATTAGATATAGTTCGAATACTAAATAGTATTAAATTATCATTATTAGTCTTATACACGCTAACTATTTACATAGTTCGCCCTGTGGGCATGCGGTGCTACTTCGCTCGTAGTCGGTGGGAAAAACCGTGCTGTAATAGCCGGATGAAAACCCTCCGCTTCGCTATCGCTACAGCGCCGTATCGGCTCCGTACCGTCCCGTTTTCCTTCCTCTCGGTATAACCTCACCGTTATAACCGAGGCTATAAACTTTTATTGTATATATAACCGACCCTACCCCGATTAGTCGCCGCCCTCTTTCCGTCTTTCCGCTATTATTTCCTTATAATTAGTAGCCTTTTATTCTATTTTTTTTTAATTATATTATTTTAGGTTACTTAATTTATTTATAAAGGAAATTTTAATCCAACTCTCTTTTTCTTTCCTTCTTTCCTTCTTTATACTATATTACCGCCTCCGCTATATTATATCCGCATCTTAACCGAATCCGCCGTTATCCTATATTTATATTTAATTCGACTTAGTATTGCTATTATTATATTATATTATATAAGAAACTTTCTAGCGCTATAAAGAAAATGTTTGCTTCAAAGGCATTGGAGGTTACGGCCCCCCCTAACGAATTGGAGGGCGAAATTGTAGCGGAGGCTATAATAATTAGTACTGGCCCTACTAATTCGCTTTATAATAATACCCTAATTAAATTTATTACTTTCGAGAAGGTTAGAAAATATTTATTAAAGGAGATATAGGAGAAGAAGGGTACCGCTATAGGATACTTCTAGCCTCCTAAATTTTATAGATAATATAACTCCTATACCTATAATCTATAGTATATTCTTCCTATAATTTACAATAATTTAGCCGGCTTCCGGTTCGCCTTCGATTAGGCTTAATACCTCTAAAATCCTTATAAATTTTTATTTTATTTCCGTAGTATTCTTATATCTAACTTTTAAAGTAATTCGCCCTAATACCCTTT